GGCATCTATTCCTCAAATGTTGGTTAGATCCATAACCATAGCAGGCTCCTTGTTGAAATTTAGGCTGACTTCCGCTCGTGCTGGGCATGTTGGAATATAACGGGAAACCGGCATACCAACCGGGATGAGGTTCTCGAAAGGGCTGCTGTTGGAATTTTATTTGTTGTTTAACAGCTCTGAAAATGTCCTGTTGTGAAACATCAGGAGATTCCTCAAGTGATGTTGGAGAATCTGTGTTCATTGTCAAATTCAAGATAGGCAGAGTACCAAGAAAATTCGACTGCTCAGATTGACGGTGTCGTGCTGAATGATTACAAAGGCAATAATATACCGCGAAAATAATTTTGAAGCGGGAAAACCTAACGCCCTCTATGCTACATAATTTATGATGAAAACACCCAGGAGAAATTAATTTCATTCTAATGCACTGCCCGTTTAAACGAATGAAATTACAATTATATGAATTCACAAAAGAGTACTAGATATCAACAATTTAGTGGTGTATCTAGTTGATAGTTGTCTCATCGGCAGTCATACAACATCTACTTATTTTTGTTATCATTATGGAAAGAGATGTTAACAAACAAAAAAATACATCACAAAAAGAGTGGCTTCAACAAGATGTAATATCAATAAGGAACCGCAATCAAAAGAAAGTATTGAATCACTACGGAAATAAATTAGTCCAGAAACAGTTTTGAAAAATTGCTTGAACATTACTGAAAAAAACAGTACTCAAATATTTCTGAAAAAAATCGGTACTAAACCAGTACTGAAACTGTACTAGAAATATTAGCACTGAAACATTACCGAAAAAGTACTAAAAATATCAACACTGAAACATTACTAGAAATATCAGCACTGAAACATTACCGACGAAAAAGTAATAAAAATATCAACATTGAAACATTACTAGAAATATCAGCACTGAAACATTACCAAAAAGATCAGCACTGAAATATAATTGAACAAATCAGCACTGAAACATTAATAAAAAATCAGCACTGAAACATTACTTAAAAATCAGCACTGAAGCATAACTGAACAAATTAGTACTGAAACATAACTGAACAAATCAGTACTGAAACATAACTGAACAACTCAGTACAAAAACAGTACAGTAAAAATTAGTATAAGTAAATGTATGAATATATATAAGAATGAGCAGCACTGTGTAGACTGAAAATATAACATTACAATTTCATCATGTAGCTATTCAGGAATGATTTATCAGATGGTACAAAAGAACAGAAAAGTGTGATTAAATTCTTGGTAGTGTAAAATCGATAGAGAGAAACTTTTAACAGCCAAAATGATCATCAAGACAATTTCTTCAAATAACTTGGCCGAGATCGACCAAAAAACTTCTTCTTGGAGTAATTGTAATGATTTTTACAATTTTTGCGTTTGTTAGCAGAGTGAGCAGCAAGACAAGATCTACAAGTAACTATTAGAGCTGAAATGGTTGGTCGATTCTTTATAGCAGTAATTGTCCTTAAATGACAATTTTTAACATTTTTGTTGCGTTTTTTCCTTTATTTGAAAACTATAATAGATAAGATCCACAAATAAGTCGACATGGCCAAGATCAGACTCCCTATAGGAGTTATGGTCCTTCAATGACGATACCATTGGTATGTTTGTTTGCATATTATCTTGAAAACTACAATATATAGCTAAAAATCTAAATAGCAAAAATGATCAGCAAAATATGATCAACAAATAAGTTAGTATGGCCCAAATGGTCAGTCAACTCCTTATAAGAGTTATGGCCCTTCAATTGAAATTTTACCATGTTTTTCATATAATCTTGAAGATTATAATAGAAAGATAGAAACTTTAAAAAGCAAAAATGATTAAGAGTACAAGATTTCAAAAACATCTACACAACTGAAATTGTCCGTTTACGCTCAAAGATCTTTAAAAAATAATTGTTACCAAAATGTGGCTATTGTTGAAGATGTACATGAGCGACACAGGCTCTTTAGAACCTCTAGTTCAAATAAATAAATGTCTGTGCAAAGATCAAGTGTTTTATTTTTATCAGTGTAAATATGGATTCCGGTGAAGGTTGAATAGTGATAAATGAGTATAGACATATTTTAGTACAACCAACGATAGATATAGTTTATATAGACCATTAAAAATTTGTTTAATAATGTAAATGTTATTTCCCTTATTATACACTTAAAACATTTGAAAAATAAGTAACATCTCCGTGTCTTACTTATGTAAACGGTATCCTGGTAAGGTGTATTATGTCAATTACACATAAAAGATGCACAGTAAAATTACTAAATGAAAGGCCATTCTTAAGAAAGAAAGAAAACAGTCATATATCAGAATATTGGACAGAAGGGTTTTTAGTATATTAATTTGGACAGCAAGGTTTAGTGTATTAATTCGAGCATCAGGATCATTTCGAATTTTCACACTGTTATACTTTCTTAGTACAACACAATTATTGTAACAAATGCAACTTTTAAAGTTTTAGTCGGTTTCATAATCGATAATTTCATTGTTGGCAAACAAAATTGTTGAACCAATATAACGTGTTTTTTTTCGAACTTTGAAATCAGAAAGATATATGTTATTTTTGATGTAGAACAACACTCTCAAGGACCTTTGTCTCATAGGTAATGTGCATATATTTAACATAATGTTCAGAATCATTGTTTCGTATCTTATTTGTTGCTCATCAAAAATAAAGGAAGAAAAAGGCAATAAGAAAAAGCGATCATAAGGGTAGATGTCTTTATAAGTTGTGGTCGGCTTTGAAATAGTTTTCAGTAACTGCGAGTACTCTTAGTTCGGTACTTTGGGTTTTTTGTTTTTGTATTAGTTGTTTTTGTGTATGTTGTGCCTATCTGATGAGTGAAACCAATTCCAACTAATTTTTACAGTTTTTTTCTATGTTGAGCTGTTACACCACTGTCTCATGTTAAGGAAGGGTTGAGCGTTCACAAACAGGTTAAACCAGCCACATTCGGGTCTGTAATTCAGTGGTTGGTTGCTGTCTGTCATATTTGTTTTTCGTGTATTGTTCTGTCATAAATCAGGCCGTAGGTTTTTTATTTGAATCGTTTCATATTTTGTAATGCCAGGGCCTTTTATATCTGACTGTATGGTGACCAATATTTTCTTAAATTCACGTCATTTAAACTCAGATGGATAGTTGTCTCATTGGCAATCATACCAAATCTACTGATTTAATATCAATTTAGAACTTTGCTAGATATTTGTCGTTATCGCCCTTATTTTAAACTATGTTCAAGCCTTAATAAACGTAACCAAAAATCGTATATAACCTGTAAAGGTTTTTTACTGTTACACCTCTGTCCAATGTTAGTGTAAGATTAAGCGCTCATAAAAATGTTTAACCCTACCGGATTATAAATGTGTCTGACCCAAGTCAGGCTGTTGTTCAATGGTGTTGATTCGCATTTTCTTTTTTAATGAATTTCATTGACATCATTAAATATACTTTCAACAGTAAAATATAAAATAGCTTTTTATACAGTGATAAAAAAAAAAAAAACTGTGGTCACACAAAAGTTTTTTAATCGCACGTTTTAGATATACATCTTCGTTTGCGGATCAATAACTGTGCTATACTCTAATGTATTTTAATAAAGGTAACCAAAAATCGTATTCAACCTGTATGAAATAGTGAATGGTTACAGGAAAAATGCATACTCTAATCCTGAATTATCTTGTCCTCTTGATTTTCGGATTATCAAGTTTTCCTTTGTTCCAATCTGTTTTCTGGATTAACCTTCATCGGGAACTCTCAAAGCCGAATATTTGAAAGCCAAAGATGTATAAGAACAAAACAGTTGGAGAGCAAATGAACAAAAAGGAACTAAAGGACCTGAAACTGATAACCAAATCCTTCTATGGTTAACTTTGCCTGAGGGAATTGAAACCTTAATTTCTTAATAATATCTAAATTTATAAACGGACATTCTAAACAAGGTATATTATTAATCATGCCAGTACCGACTACTGAGCTTAAGATACCCTCGGGGACTGATAGTTTACCAGCAGTGGTATCGACCCAGTGCTACAAAAAAATGAAAACAATACTTTATCATGTGTTCCTTTTAACAATCTGTTTTGATCTCACAGTTTTGTTTACCGATATCAAAGCTATGTTTAAAAAATTAAACACTTTATCAATGTTATGCGTCCAAAGTGCTTTTCTTGATTTACCTACATCAGAAACGCTCAAAACCTCATATTTAAGGTCTTTCTAAAAATTACATTCCTGACTTGGATATCGTCTATACGTGTTTGTTTTAATGTTGATGGTTTTCGAAATTAAATTGAGCAAAATGTTATAAAATTTGATTTATGGTTTAAAATTCATATGTATCATGAAGTTACTGCCTCTTTTGGCATATATTCATTGGTATCTCATCAGTCGATTTGAAAAGCTCACCAGAGCTTGTGTTTATGTAGTTTATTGAATATCGACTTTAAATAAAACTTTGAACATCAATTAATTACAAAACCTTACTTATCTAAAATGTTTAAAATTTGCCATATATTCAGAAAATCTGTTATCTTCTTCGTTCATCATTTCGCATATTTATTTTTTAAATGAATTTCCTTGACATCTTTTAATACAAGTTCACAGCCAAAATCAAATAAATTTTTACTCAGTAATAAAAAAAATAAAAATTGTGATTACACAAAAGTACTTCAATCGTAATTTTTATATATACATCTTCGTTTGTGGCTCAATGAAATCCCTCGAACTGTGTTATAATATACTTTTAATATGTTTAGTTAAGGAAATTACTTTAAAGATTTCGTGGTTATCATGTACCTTATATTTTTCTCTAGACATTTATTACAATAATTGGAATTTTATATGTTACAATTTCTGAAAAACAAAGGAACTATTAATAGTGATAACTTTTCAAAATTTATATTTGAATAATATCTTTTTATTTTTACTTTCACATTCAAAAAGGTACAATTGTCGGACTTATTTATCTGATGATAGTGAAAATAAGAATGCCTAGTAAGAAATGTGTGCTTTCATAAACAAAATCATGAAAAGTTCTCATAATTTCATTGTGATTTTTTCCCTCAAAGCATTTGGACAAGTTGTGATATAGGCTGCATTAGTACCTTTTTTTCAAAATCTAAATAAAATGTGCACTACATTTTAGCAATACAAATTAGAATGTCCTTTCAGCGTCCGCCCTTTGTGATTCTTGCATTTTGTTAACTGTTTGCATTCTTGTCTATGTGCATCAGCCAAGAGAAGGAACATGTAAATTGTTTAACATTTGTGTCTATATATGATTATTAGTAAGTGCTTAGTTATTCATGTTAATGTTTATATAGCTTCTTCGAAATACTAAAGATTTTCTACCTCAGGAAAAGATTACCTTAGTTGTATTTTGCAGAACCTTTCAAAATTTTTGGTCCTCAATGCTCTTCAACTTCGTACTTTATTTGTTTTGATTTTTTTTTTTTTTTTTTAACTTTTTTTATTCGAGTGTCACTGATGAGACTTGTAGACGAAACGTGCGTACGGCGAAAACAATTTTAAGCAGGTATCTATGATGAGTATATCTTGTTATTGACTTCCAACTAGCTTTAAGTAACTGAGAGTACTCTAAGATCGGTACTTTGAGTCTTTTGTCTTTATGTTCGTTGTTTTTTGTGCTTCGTGCAAATCTGATGAGTCATTTTCATCTAAATTTAACAGTTTGTTCTTAGGTTTTTACTATTACACCTCTGTGCAATGTTAGCGGAAGATTAAGCGCTCATAAAAATGTTTAACCCTACCGGATTATAAATGTGTCTGACCCAAGTCAGGGTGTTGTTCAAGGGTGTTGATTCGCATTTTTTTTTTAATCAATTTCATTGACATCATTGAATATACTTTCAACAGTTCAAATAAAATAGCTTTTTATTCAGTGTTAAAATAATAAAGAACTATGATCACACAAAAGTTTTTCAACTGTACGTTTTAGATATACATCTTCGTTTGTGGATCAATAAAATCCATCGAACTGTGCTATACTCTAATGTAATATGTATTAAGTTTAATACCTTTAAAGGTTAAGTGTGTTACATGTACTTCATGAACATTCTTATCTAGACCTATATTACAATCAAAATGGAAAACCGTATGTTACAATTTTTGAAAACACAGAATCTATTAATAGTTATTACTTTTCAAATTGGATTTTTTAATTAACGTCAATATTTTTTACTTTCACATTAAAAAATGTCCAAGTGTCGGATTTATTTATCTGGTGCTCATAGTACAGGAAAAACAACCATACTCAACGATTTAAAGCCTCACTTGAACCTGCAATTCGAAGAAGAAATCGCAAGACGTGTGATTAGGAAATTCAGCTGGAAACGTGATGATTTTCTACCTAAAACACAACCTGAAAATTTCCTTAAATTGAACGAGGAAATTCTCAGACGACAAATACAGACTGATGAGGAAAACGGCAGAATTTCTAAAGGTAGTTTAATATCTTATTATTTATATACTGTCAACTGATTGATTTTCATGTTGAAATTGAAAATGAAACTCAAAAATTTCAACAGATCCGCGTGTGTTGTGTTTGGGATTCATTTATATTCCATAATATCTTGTTGCCAAAAACAAATCATAATTCCTTCTAGAAAAAAAAAAACAAATAAAATAAACTTACAACCGAATTTTACCTTTTTCACAAGTTTCACAAAGAGTTTCTCTTATTATATCGTCCTGAATATGCATAATATATTCATTCTTGTTCCCCAACATTTGTTGGAGATTTGACTGATGAAGCCAAACATTTATTATGCTCAGCCTTGACTCCCTCTACCAAAGCTTCATACCAAAAAACATGGCAAAAGTTGATTGAATTTCTTGGTCACCAACAGATCTCTCTGCCACTTCAGCTAGCTCATGTTGCTAACTTTATTGGACATTTGTAGTGTAATACCACCAAATCATAGTACGTCACATCCGGTTCCATAGGAAAAAGGGTCGAAAAAAAATTACCCCTTGAATTTGACAGTTATAGGAAATTAATCCTACATTTCATTGCAGGAAAAAATTTCTGAGTCATAAACTTATATCTTGGGTGTTTCAAAGCATCATTATTTTTTTATTTGGTGTTTCTATAGAATATTTTGGAAACTTGAGGTTACATGGTTACTAAAGCTTGTACACAGGAAGAAAAGGGGTTAAAATTTGATTCGTTAACTTCCAGTGATGGTTATTTTCTTATATGCAATGAAATGTTATGTGACATTTTGTCTATAGTACTGGGCAGGACAAAACTTAACCCATGCCAAGTATTTCTTTAATTGAAACAAAGATAAATTCTGTACAATTTTTTGAAAAGTGCAAATTTAACAAAGACTAATAGGGAAAAATCAATGGTGGTATTACACCTTTTATTCAGTAAAGGTTTAAAACCTTCTACAATAGCATCACATATATAAATATTCAGGACCCTACAGCTTTATTCATTATTCGCAAAGCTTTGAAAGGTCCCCATCTGCAGATGCAAGACTACCAATCACAAAAGCAGTCCTTGACAAGATGATCATAAACTTGCTGTTAGTAGTCAGACACCATGTTCATCAGCTTCTATCTTTTTGATAGCCTTTGATGGATTTTTAGGCTTGGAGAGCTTGCTGTAAGATCAAAACAGTCTACAGGGAGAGTACTTCAACGTCAAGATATTTTGTTTACTTTTGGGAAAAGGGCATATTAAAGGGTGTTGAATTAACACTTAGATTTTTTAAAAATAAGAAAACTAACAAACCAGTAACAATTTGCTTATCATCATTTCCAAGCTCCCCTAGAATTTGTCCTGTTAAAACACTATATGCTTTTGTGAACACTTTTAAGCATAATAGGGGACCACTATTTCAACATACCAATGGACAATATGTATCTGCACACTTTGTGACAGAACAGATGAAAAAGTTAATTACTTTTATAGGTATGAATCCTATATGAATAAAGCATATAGCTTTCGTATAGGTGCAGCAACTAATGCTGCCAGCCTAGGCTATTCTGAGCAATTAATTCAAAAGTTGGGTCGCTGGAATTCAAATGCATTGCAGAGATATATAAGAATTGAATCTATTCGCATGTAATATGTTGATGTTCACTTGACAAACACAAAGTCATAAGGTGATGTCAGGATATGCCTGGTCACCATTCTGATTATTTTTTATAATCAGTCATTGTTTGATTAAACCATTAAAGGTATGAACATTATTAGAACATGAGGAACTGGTATTGACTTTAAGGTCAGGATTTGCCTGCTCAAAATACTACATGACTTTGTATATATGTTATACATTTTTATACATCCATTATCAATTGCCAGAACAAGAAATAATGTATTAAAAGACCTGTGAGTTATCAATAGTTTTATGATGTTCATATATTGATATATTATATTTCATTCATACATGTATGTATTTCTAATCAGACATACTACTGATGTTTTTTTTTGTTTTGTTAACATTTTCTAGTTTATGGCTATGAAATATACAAGCTGAACATTTATATTGAAACTTATTGACTGTTGTGCTGACGGCTCAAAAGTGATACTATTAATGTCCAATTCCTCATGTGAACATACATTCAAGGCTTATTAAGCCTAATTACAGATATTAAATATGTCTGCTTAGTGATTCTGTTATACAGACTGTTGAGGCCAGGATTTGCATGCTCATAAAGATAGGCAATGGTTAAAGTCATGATTATTTGATGTAACACTTTATCTATTGTTTAACAAATAATTACTTTTTATAGATATATATATATATATATATATATATATGTAGTACTTTTTATAGTATGTTTCAATAGATATAGGAAGATGTGGTATGAGTGCCAATGAGACAACTCTCCATCCAAGTACCAATTTTTAAAAGTAAACCCTTATAGGTCAAGCTATGGCCTTCAACACGGAGCCTTGGCTCACACCGAACAACAAGCTATAAAGGGCCCCAAAAATTACTAGTGTAAAACCATTCAAACGGGAAAACCAACGGTCTAATATATTTAAAAACGAGAAACGAGAAACACGTATGAACTACATAAACAGACGACAACTACTGTACAGATTCCTGACTTAGGACAGGTGCAAACATTTGCAGCGGGATTAAACGTTTTAATGGTACCAAACATTCTCCCTTTTCTGAAACAATAGTATAACATCACAACATAGAAAGACACACTATAAAATATCAATTGGAAGGCTTAACTCAATCAAGTACTTTTATAGTTATATGTGTCAATTAGTTTTGACTGATTTTTTAAGTTAAAATAATAGTTCATAACTCAAGACACACCTTGGATGGCGTGGGCTCATTCAGCTTTAAGTAAAACCTGTATTTCGCTTTGGCCTTTTTTAAACGCCATCTTTTTTGTAGGCTGGCTTTTTATCAGGGGATGTAAATCAGGGGCATTTAAATGTTACCCTTTGTAAGATTGTCTCCCCTGTTGTTGTACATAATTTTGATCGTCGTTTTAATAAATGACATTTTGATTGGAATCTTTCTCCTTGTCACTAATTCGCCTCCAAAAACAGAGCAAGGTGTGTCCTGACATAAGTGTTCATGCACTCAGATATTTAGTCATATAGGGTGGATTTCTGTATTTGGTATCCTCAGTTTATAACACTGATCACATTAGACATAAATCTAATTTATTTTATAAATACATTTATGTCTATGCTGACAACTTTTATTTGAATTAAACAGTCAATTTGAACTAAGTGTATATTGCATAATTATTTAATCTGTATATTTAACCAACCAATCAGATATAACTGATATGTTATGACGTAAAGATTTATCTGCGACAAGAAAGATCGTAAAATTTTCTCTGGACAATTTTTCTATCCCAACACCTACCCCAATACCTTGCCACCTTGTACATGTAAATATGATGTGGGTTTTGTAATTTTAATTTTTATGATATTGTGCCATTATGTTGTTAGTGGCCTTTTTGATACGCCACCTTTTGTTAGTGGCCTTTTTTTGATACGCCACCTTTTGTTAGTGGCCTTTTTTATACGCCATCTTTTTTGAAGCCTGGCTTTTAATCAGGGGAGTTAAAACAGGGGCATTTAGATGTTACCCTTTGTAAGATTATCTCTATTGTACATAATTTTGATCGTGGTTTTTAATAAATGACATTTTGATTGGAATCTTTCTCTTGTTACTAATTCGCCTCCAAAAAACAGAGCAAGGTGTGTCCTGACAAAAGTGTTCATGTACTCAGATATTTAGTCATATAGGGTGGTTTTCTGTAGTTGGTATCCTCAGCTTTGATATACATTTATAACACTGATCACATTAGACATAAATATATTTGTCAAATTCCCCATATTAAGATAGTCGGTAAGATAAATTCGTTGCAGAGTGTGTTAGTGAACTAATACGATATATATATGGGGTCAGTAAATTCTATATGGGGCTCGAGCTTCACAAAAACTTTATTAAACATAAAATTTTGCTTGTTCAAAGTGAAATTAAAATGATTTCAGATGTTCAGTTGAAAAATCAAACGGTTTAATAGCAATATTCCCAAGATACAGCATTTGAATAACTGAATTACAAACCAACGTATAAATCCAAATATACTATCTCTTTTCAGACTTTATTTCTGATCGTTGTATAGACCCTTTGATTTACGTGCAAAAATACATTGGAGATGTTGCATTGAGAAAACTTCGTGAACTACCTGGAGTATTGGAATGGACAGACAGGTATGTGTATTTCTTAATACTTGATCAGTTACGGTATCCACTTCTTTAGTTGTGGAAAGGTAACTAACATAATACGTTAATGCCCATACAGAAATAATATCCAGAAAACGAGACGAGAACATTATAAACTACCTTCAGAAGTATGAACTTAATAAGCAGAGAGCAAGTATTGGTAACATGTTTCATAACTGGTTTATGTAAGTCAAACGCTCTATGCATTCAAGAAGGGTTTGACTGTGGTAGACTTTGGTAACTACTTCAGGTTTTCTTTTATTCTTCTGGATATTTGTGTTCTTAGTTCTTTTTGTCTGTATTAGGATTCGTGTTCAATCAAAGATGATGATGAGTAATTTACATTACCACTTTATATGCACTAAAATAACAATAATCTACTTTAAAAGGAAAGTTACGACTTTCGGTGTTTTGGGACATTCCTTGTTTTAAAACCCAAATATCCAGTCTATTTTTTGTATCATAACTATATATTTAAGATTGGTTGGTTGATGTTTGTCTGCTTACCTGTTAGCGATGAAACACGTTTTACTAGGACAATCATTTGCTTATATTTTGTAACATATCTGTAGTCTTTGCAACAAAATTTTCTGATATAACATGTCTAAACAATTTAATATTTGTGGCTAAATTTTAGAAGGAAGTAAAATGTATAAAATAGTACTTTGTGTATAGCATTCTTTCAGGCAATGCATTCATAAGTGTAGATACATGATGGTGATATTGAGAAACAAACATCTATTTCACTGTGAAAAGTTGTACCTTTTCCACCGTTGTGGTAGAGATTTGGCGTGGATTGTTTTACGTTTTGATGCTCTTGGATGCTTTTTTGCTTGACTTCTCAAGCTTCGGTATTAGGTGTTGTAAAAAATACAAGTGCAATTTATCAAACCGTATTAGAAAATGCATTTCGTACTAGAGCTGTGACATTTTAATTAATTAAATGCTGAGTCTTTTATAACTGAATTCTGATTGGACCCGAAATCACTTATTCAATAAACATAATATATGTCAATTGTTAGAAATAAACTTCCGTTAAAAATTTTTTTTTTTTTCATAATTCCAGGTTAAAAACAGCATTAATATTTGTAATCAAACCCCAAAAGGAATGTATTGTGGACGATGAAGTTCGACTTTCACCGAAACTGGAAGAACTTAATGCATTCCACAACAGTATACTTCGAGAATACAAACTCCTAGGAATTCCTGTCTTTGAAATTACAGATCTTGATAGACAAAAAAGAAAAGCGTTTATACTAGACAAAATACAACAAAGATTTCCTGGTGTTCTAATTTCATTCCAACATTCAGGTTAACGTAATAACATTGTCCAGGAAAAATCAAGCCTGCATAGCATGTCTTCTGTCTAACATACATGTATTATTATCTTGTGTATGTTATCTTTTAAATACATACTGCACATACATCTTCTTTTATGTGGTGACCCTTTTAAACAATACAAAAACCTATATGATTACCATACAAACCACACGTTTCTCAACGACCTTTACCAGATACACTGAAGACCAAAAACGTAGATGGCCAAAATTTTAAAACCCTAAACAGCACAGAAAGTGGTAAAGGCCAATGACAATAACTGAACAACAGAAAATAAAATATAAAATAAAAAAAGGAAATCATTCAATGAAAAGATTCAACTGAATGATGTTACTAATTTGAATATAATAAATAAACTCATCATAGATATATAGTTAATCTTATAATCATTTCACAATCTCGGAGAAAAAAAAAACTCATCAGAGATATCAGGCTAAAACTTTGTTTGCCAGACGTGCGTTTCGTCTACAAAAGACTTATCAGTGACGCTCCAATCAAAAAGGTTAAAAGGCAAAGAAGGTACGAAGTTGAAGTGCATAAAGGAACCAAAATTCCGAAAGGTTTTGCCAAATGCAGCTATGGTAATCTATTCCTGTAGTAGAAAATCCTTAGTATTTCGAAAAATTCAAATTTTTAACAGTTAATTTATAATTATGACCATATCAATAAGAGTTCATGTCAACACAGAAGTGCTGACACCTTCGAGAAGAAAACTTGAACCAGCAGTGGCATCGACCCAGTGGTGGTAAATAAAATTAGCATACCTACCAGGCTTAAATTTTGTATGGGATTTTTTTTTTTAATATATACCAGATTAGGGTTTTACAGTTCACTGATCAGGTTAAACATTTGATTTAAGGTAGCTTACAATAGTTCTTGATTTATCTTCATCAGAAACGCTCAAATCTGAACATTTGAAAGCCAGGAATATATAAATACTTGACTAGCTTTATGACCAAAAGGGACCAAAAAAGAATAGCCAAAACCATTTAAGTTCAAATTTGCCAGAGTACATTGGAATCTTAGTTTCTAATAATTTGTTTATTTATATATTATATTATTTTTTATTTATCATCCTGAAATTGTTGTAAACAGTATAGTTATTAAAGCCTTTAAAGACGTTGTTTATTTTATTGATAAATGAAGATTTAAGACTAATAGATATGAGCCGAGGCTTTACCCTAAAAGAATCTCACACACATTACATTTTTGTATAAGACATCTTGTAGCAAAATACCTTTTTGGGTAAAACTTTGGGTCATATCTAAATCTCAAAATCAGGCTATTGTGACAGTTTTTGTAGCTTTGGTCTGATCTCAAAAAGTTTGAAGCCCTGATGCAAACACGTAAAACAAAGTAAAACAAATACAAATACTGATTTCTGACAGACTTTTGTCCTATACATATCTGAAGGATGCTATTTGGTGGGTTTATAATACTTTTTGATTTTCGAATTCAAGGGGCCACAAAGGTGGACTTATCATATCTTCGCCTTTCAAAAATGTTTGTAATAAATCATGTCAGTGGCAAAGCACAGACTATCAGGGACTAAAAGTCAACTAACAGAAGTATCAATCCAGTGGTAGAAAATTAAATTATTCAGTCAAGTTGCCTTATTTTGAATGTACAAAATCATTTAAAGATATTAACTACCTCTAACATAAGGGGTGTGGCTTCTCTTGGGGAATCTCCCGCAACATATAGGGTTAACACTTGAATGTTTATACAGTACACTAATATATCTGTGTCAAGCATTTATCTCAATTGCCTGAATTATAAACACAGTTGTCAACCGTCTTGAGTTTTTGGTGGAAAAAGCAACCATTCTGGAACCATGTTTGATTTATGTGAAAAAAACTGTACAATAAGTAATAACACATTATTGTCTGATGGCGTAATTACAAAACGACCATTGTAAATATATTCACTAATAGCATCATCTGTTCATTGGCAAACAGAGACTGCAGAATAAGTTTTGTATCGACCTCTTCCTTCTTGTCACAACGTTGCTGCAGTCTCTTGATTTAAAAAAAAATCCAAATATGAATATATATTTCGTCTCGGTATTGCAAAGCGAATTCATTGTAAAGTTCGAGTGCAAAGTTATATAGAAATCTGCATGGTCAATTCCAGTTTATTTTCGGACAAACAGAAATTTTTTTTCTTCGATTTTTAGAATTATCTTCCTTAAGTTACCTAAGATATCTTATTAGTAGACATCCTTATTCTCTCTTAATCAAAAATGATTAGTATTTCACAAACAGAATATCATATAGAATTTCTTTTAGCCTTTGAAAAGCAACATCATACCCAGACTCATGTGAAGCATCCGGATCAGATTCCTTTTAGTTAATTGATCAGGTAATAAGCAATTCATGCTGAATAATACAGTTCCTTTTCCTTGAGATTTTATCGAAATCGTCATGAGAATTTTGGCAAGTAATGCATAATAGGCAATGGCATTTGATTCTTGTGGTTTTATGACAATGAGGGAGCAAATTTGACAGGATTCCCTAATACATTCCTAATTAATTCGGTTAAATTTAAATGTGGAATACAATTAATCTCTCCGAAAAAACTAAAAAATAAAACACTTCAAAGCTTCTAAAAATATCTATTGTACATAAGTCAAACATCAAAACATAAAAAATTAATGCAATTTTTTTTTTATTTTTATTGACAAAAACTAAAACATAATTGAATTCAAATCATTGTCAAATACATGAGTCACAGAAAATAGGAGAAGGGAACGCAACATGAATAACTGAGGTAGTAGAATTAACAGTTAAACTGATAGATGATGAGTATATTCAAAAAGCTTTAATAGTTATGTTGTGTCAAACTGTTTTAATTCTATGAAACTTTTAGAGGATTCATTGTTCTGCTATTTTTTTTCGAAAACTACTACGAATACAATACGAAAGAAATTTAATATACATTGTTTATACCTTGCCAGACGATAAGATTGAAAAAAAAAACGCCACATGAATTCGAAAAATATATAAAATATGTACTTTTGTATGATTTTAAGTTCGATGTTGAATAAAATCTGATTCATTGTGGTTTCATTTTTAGCCAAAAAATGCTGAAATCATTGTTTAGGGGTTAATCATAACTGTTTCCTTGTATCATAACGGGGGATGGGCAGAGTCGGAAAGTCACACTTAATGGGTACACATGTGGAGCAGAATCTGCTAACCCTTCCAGAACACCTGAGATCACCCTCGCTTTTTGGTGGGGTTCGTGTTGCTCAGTTTTTATTTTTCTATGTTGCGTTTTTTATACTGTTGTTTGTCTTTTGGTCAGTGCTCGTTTTTTGCCATTGCATTGTCAGTTTGTTTTCGACAAACTAGTTTGATCATCCCTTTGGTATTTTTCGCCTCTCTTTTATCGCGATTTTTTCCAAAGAAATTGCACTATGGGAAAACTCTACGACACGGAGAAAATGATAGTGTAATGTTTTCTCTTTACTTATAATGATTTTCAACCGTTAGGTAAGTTTGTTAATATAAAAGAGAGGTGAAAGATACCAAAGGGACATTCAAAATCCTTAGTCTAAAACAAATTGACTCTTAAAACATTTTAATATTGATTTGTCACTGAACTATATAATAACTGTCACCTGCTTTCTTGTTTAACCAATATTTTAGATTCGTATCACGTTCTTTTAAATTCCATACCCTTGTAGAAATGATTTATTTCTGTTATCGTTTAACAATACAGAAGTATAGAAAAAATCCTCTGAAACTATGCCTTCAAATAAAGAATCTGTTTCAAAATCGTTTGTTTAAAGATTAATTTCGCTTTTTGCAGTTGGGTCAAGATGCGCGATTCATTTCAGATAGGCGGTAATGGTAGCCTTTTCCTAAATTCCGCTGCCCTAATCGTAAACTTGGATATATATGATGGCTGGTGTGTTTCGAAGCTGATACATTTTCACATATATGATTAAATTTTCAAGGTACGAAGTGAGATTCATTTTTCCGTAATTTAACACACCCCGAAAAGCCTTTTGTGGTGCGGCTTCTCGAGGTAATAAATCCGGTTTTTTTACACAATAACTTCTATGAAAATTTTGTTCTTTGCATACATTTAATAACTCCATAGTTTTTACACCTTTATTCTATGGTCATCTGCTCTCAAAATCGACACACGTGGTAAAGCTCAGTCACATGTTTAAAATTGAAACATGTCCAAAATCACTGAGCAGAGATTTTTTGTTTACGCACTATTTTTGCGTTCCTCAATTTGAGGTACATTAGGGATATTTACCCAGTTAATACGTTATTGTTTATAGTCAATAATTGCTTATATCTACGTCATTTGAGCTCGGGTGTAAAGTTGTCTCACTTGGCAATCATACCACATCTCCTACTTTTTTATAGTAGATAATATTTGTTCCTTTTAGATCAATTTATCGCGTTGAAAGTAGACGCATGAAAAGATCTTTTATCTGTCCCGTGAAACTGCAAAATTAGTAAAAATCTTCAATCCTTTCAAAAATAAACAGGATGGTACAATCTGGAAACTTTTATACAGAAATGTCAAATGTGATGTCACTTTGACGCTAATATCTCAAAAACTAGAAATCAAATGTCCATTTTACACATTGTATTTTGCAAACTTAACTATGAGCCAAGGCCTTGCATAAAAAGATCGTTTACCAACATAAACATCTCTTTATAAGACGTATTGTAGCAAAATATCTTCTTGATTAATGCTTTGGCTCGCCATTACCTAAACATAATGTTAAATTCTCATGATCAGCTATTTTGACAGTTTTTACAATTTAAATTAAAAAGTTTGAAGCCCTTAAACAAATTTAAGACACAATTTCAAAAATATAAAAATTGATATCTGACAGACCGATGTCTTATAAACTTCTGAAGAATGTTATTTGATAGATTAATCATAAAATGATATCATACCTTTCCCTTTCCTTGACATTTAACCTGTTATCTAACTATTGGTTTTTTTATTTCGGATACCGCACTGGGGCACATTTTCCAGGACAAGAACTAAGAAGACATCGGTACCATCGGTTAGATCTGAAAAATGGGATAACCTTGAGAAGGAGCAGACCAATTTGGTCACATACTACCTCCTCCAAATATTACTTGGGTTCTTTTGCGTGCATTTTCAGTCTAAAAACATGTGTCTTATTTGTCATGTTCACAATCAGGTCGGATGTAAATATATATTAATGTGTTCAACATGGCCGAACAGAGGCCCTGCTACTACAAGTCATACTGTTAGACATAGTCATACTTCAATACTCAATCTACCCTTATGGTTGTATTTTTAAATGTCGACATATGAAGTTCCATCAAGAACATTGATTCGTCTATCACAAAATCACACATACTTTAGATTTTTGTATTAATGTCTTATTTTGTTTTACGAGTTCTGATTTTTCACGTTGCAATGAGTAAATCTGTTTTTCATTCTCTAACCTCAAACGTTTTTCTTCAATAATTTCGTTATCTTTGTCTCCTTTTTCAGCAATCAGTTGCTTGTAAATTCGTTCGTTTTCAGCTTTCTCACTTTCATATTTTTTCATTTTTTCTTGCAGATCATTATTTCTTTGTTTATTTCTAATCTACAAATCAATAAACAAGCATTATAAATAATGAAATGAAATGTGACCTATAATTTGTTTTGATTTTAAATATCGCAATCAGTTGCTAGTGCATTATCATATTCAGTAAAGTAATCTATGTAATGTACTCGGTTAAATTAAGGGTCAACTGCAAACAAAAATTCCTATTGATGTAACGATTTTTACCGTAAAGTACAAAACTATTATTGAATTTCATAGTTGCAAAGATCATTGCGTTAAAATCCATCAAAATTCGGTTTTTGATTAGTTTTGTCTTCTGTCCGTTCGTTCAACTAAAAACTTTGGTTCTACAATACACAACACACAAAAAATGAAAGTTCGGCAGTATTTTAGCAAAACGAAGGATGCACGTACAAATAGGAAATGACAAATCCACAAAAAAGTAGAACCACTCAAACCGACCAATTGCTATCCCCTATTTGTAATAAATGAGAACATGCTGTATTAATTCATTACACAATATCGCATCACACGCATGAGAAAACCAAAAATCATAGATGCAGCGCTTTTATAGCATTTTTTTCATCCCATAGTATACAATTTCGTGTGTTAATTGAATCATGATATTTTTTTTGGTTCGTCTGAAAATGCACTCCTTTATTGTATTGGACAGTATCAATATTCAGGACAAAAATGTATATGGTAAAATGCGACTCTACATATACGCTACATTTTTTTAACTATTGTTCAAACATACATTGTAAAGTACACGATTTCTATAAAACAGCGAAAATAAGTGTAAAATGTTTATAACTGCCAGACGTAGATGTTTCATAAGATCCAATTATTTTGATAGGCAAAAACCAATCACGAGGCATTCAAAATGGCATTTTATTTCCAAATAAAATGTTTTATTTATACCTGTCCAGGCTCTCCGTGACAACGTTAGAACTATTGCAAAAACGATAACGAACAAAAACGGAATGGGTTTTTCTCATTGTTGAAGGCCTTACGGTTGCCTATAATTGCTTACATCCACTTCATTTAAACTTTGGCGGATAGTTGTCTCAGTGGCAATCATACCATATGTCCTTATTTTTATATAAAAAGCATACTTTAACTCCTAATTTCATGATTATAGAATGAAACTGTAATCATTGCTAGAGGATTGACTGCTTCTTTTCATTTTGTAGGGTTGTAAAAGTGCGGATAGTGCATGCATTATTTCAAAATGTGCTGCTGTGAACATTTTTACGCCCTAAGAGAAGTATAGTTAAAGAATTAAATTCTTGAATAAACACAATCAAAATTTCACGAACTAAATGAATTTAAGGTAGATTGTGCTCCTTAAACTAAAATGTCAAAATGCAGTTTCTATCATGCTTTTATAAAAACATAATCAGGAGGAAAGGTCACGAAGTTGTTTTTTTTTCAAGCTACAGGTTGTGCAAAATTGCCAGTTTTGTATAGATTATACATGAAAACCCAAGTTTGTGTAAATAGAAAGAAAAATAAACAATTAGATTTTGTAACAGATAATGAAAAGTTAGCTCTTATTATTTTTTTTCATGAAGTAAAAAGAAAAGATGGGGTCACGTAACTTGTTTTTGTAACAAAAACAAAATATGTAACTTTCTTTCTAAAACTAGATTATTTTAGTCAACTTCCCTTATAAGGTGGAGTTGAACAGACAATTATTTTGATTTTGTAAAAACAGTCGTAATAATTTGATAAACACACAATTTGCTTCAGTTGAATGAAAAGTTTTACAAATAAGTTGTATTCTTCTGTAATAAATTTCATATTTCATTAAAGATCTTGACCGATTGTTTTCTGCTGTTTTAAAAATCTAAGATGGTGGAAGACACCTGATCTACCTTTAAAAATATTTTCATTGGCGTCAAAAACAGCTGAAAAGTTGAAGGTTTTTATATGTAAAACAACAAGAAGTTACATATGGGTCCCGCATTGTCGACTCACACATATTCGTGGGAAAAGTTTTGACTATACGGAAATTTACATAATTTCAACATGTGCTTTCTGCCATATAAAAATAAGAAGATGTGGTATGATTGCCCCACAAGAGACCAAATGACACAGAAATTAACCACAATAGGTCACCGTACGGCCTTCGACAATGAGCAAAGCTCATACCGCATAGTCAGCTATAAAAGGCCCCGAAATGACAAATGTAAAATAATTCAAACGAGAAAAACTAACGGCCTAATTTATGTACAAAATAGTGAACGAAAAACAAATATGTTACACAGCAACAAACGACAATCACTGAATTACAGGCTCCTGACCTGGGACAGGCACATACAGAATATGGCGGGGTTAAACTAGTTAGATTGCGCCAAACCCTCCCCCTAACCTGGGACATTGGCGTAACAGTACAACATAAGAACAAACTGAAAAAAATCAGTTGAAAAAGGCTTAACTCATCAGATAGATACAAATAGCATGCATTTACCCCAAAGTTGATATACATTTTGTAAAATAATGTGATTTTTTTATTGTATTTAATTTATTTATTAATTCAAATCAAAATTGCCCGTGATAATATTTCCCGAGAATAAGCGTTTTGGAAAAATAAGACTTCGAGCGCAGTCTTTGAAAGTTCATAAAGTAGTTATAACACAGCGAATATTGTAGTTTAAAACTCTTATGAGTATTTTCTCACTTTATTAAGTGAATTACATAGTTATTTGACAGAGAGTATTGTAACTTTTGTAGCTCTGTCCTACAGTATTTCTAATTTTTTATTGAACAAATCGACAGAAGAACGGATGGAGGGACGGACAATATGATTGCAAGATAGAACCACCTCCTAAAATTGGTGAAAAACAAAACGATATTCATTTTTCGTAAACCAAAATAAAACCATTTAGATGTTTTGAGGTTTTCTTTATTCTTATAAATGCATCTTTATTTTCATTCTTAAAAAGTGTTCCGATTTGATAGTAAAAAAAAAGTGTAATGTATTCGAATTAAGTGCACGAATTAAGCAGCTTATACCGCTTTATATATTAATTTTTCAACATGTTTGTTTTTATCTTCGGAATGTATATACTATACAATAGGTGTTATTTGTAAACAAATATAAACCTGATCTTCCCAATCTTGTATTCTTTTTCGTTCGAGTGGTTTAGAAATGCAGCCATCAAATTTTGCATACACTTCTCCATTAACTCTGTAAAGTTTATCAAATCTATCCACAGGATAAAATGTGATCTCCAAAACAAATATGTCATCTGTAAAACAAACCAATGTAATGCTGTTTGAGTGATGTCTGTGATATATTTAGATTGTCAATTACAAGTTAGGTATAGTGTCCGGCTGGAATCGTGTTTTTTCGAGTGATTTGATCGGGTTTTTTCGAGTGTGACCACGTTTTTTCGAGTGAATATGATAAAAAATGTAAACAAACAGACTTCCTTTCTGGAAAGACGTAAAAAAAAGATGCCGGAACCTTATATTTAATATCATAGAAGGAAAATTAGTATTTGTAATAAAAAATTATTATCAACCTTACATTATTTTGTTTTAAAAGTGTTTAATTTAGCATTACAATGCTCTATTCCAAAATATAGATTAAAGGCATTTTTAAACACATAACAATGCAAATGTCAACGAAAATGCTTATATGGAATCTATATATACTTAGATATACAGACACTTTACAAAAGTTTTTGTTTTTGCACTGAAAAGTACATTTTGGAGAGTAAATTCATTTTTATATGTCCGTGTTTTCGAGTGCCTCCTTGTTTTATTGAGTGAAAAAAACAAAATTCCTATGGCTTGAAATGTAATATGTCAGTGCTTTTGCGGTTAAAAAACAATGAAAGGTTCAAATAAAGTACTTTTCAAAGCACGGAACAATGCATTAAACCAGTTTGATAATGCTGTACATGTACTAACACGTACATTTCATGAAAAGGCGTCGTTCATTTGTATTCAGATATATTTATGAAAGTGTACCGATATGGATTTCGTACAGTAAATATTTCGTGTTGTAAACAATCTTGTCAATTGGACATGCTTTGATACTATATCTGCCCTTGAATTTTTACTTGATAACATTTTTGTTTGCTTTGGAGATTCCGTGTATCGTCAAGTTGTCGGAATTCCAATGGGGACTAACTGTGCACCACTTATTGCGGACCTGTTTTTGTATTGTTATGAGTTACAATTTATGACTAAAATCAGCAAAGACCCATCGAAACAACATCTGATACAAAAATTTAACAATACTTTTAGATATTTGGATGATATATTGGCTCTCAATAATGACGACTTCAGTATGTATACTAAAGAAATTTATCCTGTTGAACTTACTTTAAATAAAGCTAATACTAACAATGACCACTGTCCTTTCCTCGATCTTGATATCTATATCATTAACGGGAAGCTTAATACAAAAATTTATGATAAAAGAGATGATTTTTCATTTCCTATCGTTAATTATCCATTTTTAGATGGTGACGTTCCCTTGTCACCATCTTACGGTGTTTATATATCTCAACTTGTACGATTCGCTCGTGTATGTAACAACGTATTAGATTTTAGCGAAAGAAATTTATGTATTACTGAAAAATTATTACACCAGGGTTTTCGATATCATAAACTAGTCAAAACATTTACTAAATTTTATCATCGGTATAAGGACATCATTCGTAAATATAACTCAATATGCAGACATCTTATACGTTCGAGTATTTCACATCCAATCTTTTATGGTAATATTCTTTACAAAGCACAAAAATGTCAGTATTCACCTCAAAAGCTAACAAAACCTTTAAACAGACTTATTAAGAAGGGATATAGTTACGATACTGTTGTCAGGTCATTAAAGATTTCATATTTTGGCTTTAATATTGATTCACTTATAGGGTCTTTGCATCGGAATTAAACATATTTATTCTAAAACCAGTTGTTGGCATGACACGGGTTATGTTTTTCTCATATATTATATGACGATATAATACTAAACCCCTAACAGGAGGGATTGTGCCTGATATTCATATGATGAAGACATAATCTTTCAATCAGTTTAATTGAGGTCTGGAGCTGGCATGTCAGTAACTGCTAGTAGTCTGTTGTTATTTATGTATTATTGTCATTTTGTTTATTTTCTTTTGTTTCCTATTCTGACATCGGACTCGGACTTCTCTTCGACTGAGTTTTACTGTGCGTACTGTTGTACGTTTGTTTTTTCTACATTGGCTAGAGGTATAGGGGGAGGGTTGAGATCTCAAAAAACATGTTTAACCCCGCCGCATTTTTGCGCCTGTCCCAAGTCAGGAGCCTCTGGCCTTTGTTAGTCTTGTATCATTTTTAATTTTAGTTTCTTGTGTATAATTTGGAGTTTAGTATGGCGTCCATTATCACTGAACTAGTATACATATTTGTTTAGGGGCCAGCTGAAGGACGCCTCCGGGTGCGGGAGTTTCTCGCTGCATTGAAGACCCATTGGTGGCCTTCGGCTGTTGTCTGATCTATGGTCGGGTTGTTGTCTCTTTGACACATTCCCCATTTCTATTCTCAATTTTATTTATCTGAGCTCAGACATGTTGGATTGAGACGTACATACACAAAGTGCGTAAAGCGGGTAAATATGTGTTTTTTTAACAGAAAATACATCCTAAATGCCGAAGGGTGTGTGCATTTTCAACACCGGTGTAAAATTCCGTCCACCCCTGATTACTCCTAGATAACGAATTTATTTCTTATGAAGCGTTCCATTTCTCATTTTTATACCGGGTGTAAAATTGAAAAATGCTTATTAAGAACTTTCACGACATTATTTCGTAACTCATGTTGCTGCGCATTGTCAAATATTACCTTTTTAAATCTTTCTTTATTTTTGAAAAGTATTTGTTTTTTTTTTTTATTTTTTTGGGGAAAAAAATTATTAATTCTTAATTTTTGCAACTAAAATTTTTAATTTTGCGATCTTTTTTTATTTATTTATTTTTTAATTTGGCAAAATTTTCATTTTTTTAAATTTGGGCAAAATTTTATCCCTGGGTGTTTGTTTCCATCAGATATTAAAAGAAATATATTTGTGAGGTGTACGCATATTATATGCACATTTTTTTAAATTTTTTTTTAATTATTTCAAAAGGATCGTATTAAAGCTTACAGATTATTTATTTCGTTGTTTATCAAATACATTGGATAAGTTCCCTAGTTATTCATCAGCTTAGTAGCCAGTACTTCGGTACAGAGATGATTTATAACAAACCTTTCTAAAATTGTTAACCTCCAAGGGGGACTGGGGAATAGAAATATAGTCACTTAGGTCCTCTTCCGACCGGCAGTTAAACCCTTGCCAAAGTAGAGCGTCCGTTTGGCTGTGCGGTTTGTTCAAGTACACAGTCACGTCCAGTCAGAACGATGCGTTTAGAGAGTGCCACACTCACTGCACGTTAAGATCCCTTGCAACAGATCTTTGAGGTAGGTGGCCTGTTGCAAGGCAAAAGGAGTAGGTCCGGTAAGACCCCTTTTTGGCCCCAAAATATATCATTTTTAGAAATTTGTTGAAATGTAAACTTTTAGCTATTTATTGGAAAGAAGAATACTTCTGTTCCATAAATATGGGCTGTTTTTGACAATTCAATGCACATGCATCAGGTACAAGTATCATAAATGCATGCAATATTACTGAAATCTTCACAATTTTAGCATTTGTGCAAATTTTAAGACGGTTTTTGTCTAAAATGGAAGTGGCCGCATATGTGTTCAGTCTTAATATTTAAATATATGTTGTATTTGATGATAATACATAGCATATATAAAGGTTGAGACTGAACACGAATGCGGCCACTTCCATTTTTTACAAAAACCATCTGAAAAGTGACGTTTTATGGCATATTTGAAAGATTTTTCGTACTCAAGCTTGAATTTGAGCGTCTTTCATGACCAAATCAGTTCAAATTTTTAACATAAACTAATTAAATCGACTGAAGTAGACACTTAAGTGTTTAAAAAATGCAAAAACTCTTTCATCAGATGTACTCCAAATTTTAGGCCAAAACTAGCCCTTACCGGACCTTCTCCTTTCTGTCCATCCAATATACCATAATTTTCAGTGGCAGTCGACATTTCCCGACCTTCATCCCGAACTTCCTCTGTTATAGGATTTATTGTTAATTGGTTCTTGTCTTGAACATGCATGAGATATTTGCCACTGGACGTTAAGCAGCCAACTATCAATCATTTAAAATTGTCCGTTTATGAATTTAAAAATTATAAAAGAAACTAAGGTTTCAACTCTATTAGGCAAAGTTGACCTTCAATGGATTTGGCTATTTTTCGGGTCATTTTGGTCTTCAAATGTTTCGGGTCTTATACATCCTTGGCTTTCAAATATTCTACTTTGAGTGATCTGGGTGAAAGTAAATCTAGAAAAGAGCTTCGAACGCATAATATTTATAAAGTGTTGTTTTCATTTTTTTATAAGATATTCCATTCAATTCAAGTGCTATTGTAATATTTTTTTTGGGGGGAGGGGGGTGAGGCCTCTTTTAGTAGAATATTTGGATTTATATTGAATTTTCTAGATTTTACTGCTTTTCCTTGGTTTTTATTGCTCCTATGTTTTTTTGTCACTGTACTATATATATATATATCAATCATATAATAGTATTGACGGTTTAAACAAAGGTAGCATGACATGAAATTGAAAAGATTATGAGTCCCTCTGATCGGTTCTAAAGACCGTTTTAAAAAGAACCCAGTGATTTTTTATATATCCTAATACTGCAAGGTTATGGTAATATATTTTCAGAACAGAAATTTATCAGTAAATTGATCATGAAAAGGTTTAAATTTGATCAACATAGTAATTTGTTTTTGTGACTTATTAAGAATTAATAATATTGTCTTTCGCTAATTAAAAGTTTCAAACTGGAAAAGTTAGTTTTTAAGCCAAATATTGTTTTCTTTCTTATTCATATTATCTTAAAAAAAAACCGGACCATTTGTTGAAAAACCCGGACGTTTTAGATGTTGCTCTCGAAAAAAACACGGACAATATAAAACACTGAACTATGAGTGGTTACACTGAAATTGTATGCCTTTTGTGCTCAAAACTCGTATAGCATTCAGAATAAGATGAACAGCCACGAATACAACTATTATTATTCGCGAAATAGCAGTAAATCGATCTGATCGCATGTAATATCACTCGAAAAAACCTGATCTGCACTCGAAAAAAGTGGACCGATTCACTCGAAAAAACACGATCTCA